ACAATGACTTTCATAATTTTAGAGCCAAAAGCATAAAATGTATTATTTGAAATAGGTCGACAGAAAAAAAGAAGTTGTTTCTGATTCAAAGTATAGTAATATTATAGAAAATAAAATTAATGTGGATTACACCACCTTTGCACTCATAGCCGCAACTAGAACCAATTCGAATGGTTCAGATCTAAAATTAGTTACATCGAAAAAAAGGAAACCTCATGTTTTACTCAGTACTTATCCTTTTAAGTTCCAACATCCTCAAAATTATTTCGTTAATCTGTCTACATAAAAATCACTGTACTGAATATCAAATCATACCGTAGTTTCCGGAGTTGCCAGCCCAATAATGCCAATCTTCCGTCCTTTCCTCTTAACAACTATACTGTCCTGAAAGAGTCCCTGTAGTTCAGGCACTTGTGACACGTCCATGTTGGCTGCTAGCACCGGTGCTTTTAGATGGGAGAGGTAAGGTGCCAAGCCTTCTGGACCGTCGTCGAATTCATGATTTCCTACAGCCTGTCAAGGACAACACACGAAAGATATACAATAAGAAAAAATTGTAATGGATTCATTAGTATAAATCCCTGACTGCAAAATGAGTAAATTTTTTTGCAGAACTATTACACAGTATAACAATATCTTTCTACAGTAGCGCAATGATTTTCGGCGACACCGTCGCCCGTATACGTACGTGCGCTGTCGTACATAGATTTACAAGGGTTGTCACAAAAGGGCAAAACGTTGTGATTATGATAACAACATAATTCAACAAACAATTGTTAATACACAACAATTATTTGATGTTACTTATCTAGTAATAAACATTTATAAGTGAATTAAGTTTGTTGCGAGACGAAGTTGCAAAAAAATCAATTTATTTTTCTAAATTATTTAAAAAAAATTACTATTTAAATTACAATATAAAAACTAGGCGATAAGTAATCGAAGTTGGATTACGAATGCCGCGATATTTGATGCTCCGGGCCGCCGTCTCCACTTTTGACGCCAATTTTTCATTTTTTTTTATTTATTAAAACATAATTTACATTTTTTTACATAAACTGTACAGTGTCACAATGCGGTCACGTTGTCTTCAAAGTACAGGGCTGACGCTGCACCCCGTGCAGCGAGTTAGCGCCTCGTGCAATGCACTATTGTTTTCAGTTCGCCGCTTATTTGGCGATTCCCCTACGTTCGCCTTGCGTAACACCTCCCCTCGCAGAACAGCGACCATTGACGACGTTTGTCGTGAATTGAACTGGGGGTTGATTAGGGTCAACCCTTCTGGATTCTGGAAGAGCGTAGACATGTTGCTCTTCTTCATTGGATTGTTCCGGTGAAGTCTTCGATTGTTTTAAATAGTACTTGCGGTGACCACTGCGGTTGCCACTAACGAGTGCACATGCACCACAATACAAAGGGATGGTGATATGATTGAGGCTGTAATCGTTGTCATCTTTAAGTTTCACTGGCTGCTGTTGAGAGATTTTCCTTTCGACTTTTTGGAGGTTTTCTAAATTTACAGAATGCAACTTGAATGTCGGTATCGAAGACGAGATAATAGTAGTGTGGTTATGTAAGTCCATTACTTTTAGTGCTTTCCCTCTCAAGCGATAGTTGGCGTTGGTTATTATAAAATGCGGCGTCTCTAGGTAGCATTGGTGCGGGATTATGGCAAGATAACTTCCTTGTAAAGTTTTGTACAAATATTGTCCGTAGGAAAGATGAACCTTTGTTGGAGCAGGGAAGCTGATGGTGTAATGCTTCTCGTCGAGTTTTTCGAATCCTGGCTTGGCTAACGTAACTGAAACAGGGCTGCAGTTGGTGTTCTGTTACTGTATTATGTGCTGCTGGATACAGTCTTCTGATGTTCGGCTTGGCAGGTTGTATGTCTCCTCGCTTAACTACCATTTGCTGGTCTTCGGGCATTCAGCTTTTATGTATCTAAAGTCTTTCTGATAAAGGGCTAGGATTGGATAAGGAGGGGAAAATATTTTATGATGCTTATTAGGCAAGATAGATAGCTTATATATATTACAGGTGAAAGGTATTACGATAGGAAATTTGTAAACAACAACTATCTCATTACCTAAATAGTAAGTCCTAACTTAATTAAGTCGAAGTATTCTCTGATATCTAAATCTACTACTCGTTCTCTGCCATATAGTTTGCTCAACTTGCTTATGATAGCGCGTATCGCATACAAATTTAACACCGAAAGATGCATCGTGGAAGTTCTTATGAAAGCAAGAACATTCTGTAGTTCTACTAGTTCTTGCAAAACTGAATCTACGTTGTCATCTAATATAATTAGAATTTGAGCGAGATGCGCATATTTAACTAAATCATAATCTCGAGTAGCTTCGCTTTCGTTAATTTTCTTTATTAAAATCATGATTTTATTTTGATTATCTACTATGCTGTCAATTACTTTAGAATATTAAGACGTCCAATTTTTAGAAAGGCTAACGTGACTATTGAACTCGTTAACGAAATTACCTTGATTATCTTGAAGAGATTTAAGGGCTCGATTATAGTGTATTGTGTCAGTGTAATCAAGATTCCTATAACGCTCTTTATTATGGAACCAAGACCATCTACCAGTCGTCTTTTAACAAGATTTGGCTCAAATGTCTCCGATTGATTTAAAACATTATCAAGCTTATTTCTAAGGTAACTTAAATGTGGTTCAGATAAAGAATTAGTTTTATTATGTAGTTCGGTACTAACGCTATTAACTGAATGTTAACAGAATTAATTTGATCTCTCAAGTTTTAAAGATTAATATGTTGCAGAAAGGAATGATAGTGAGATACTCTCGCGGGTCCTAATTTAAAGGGTAAAATACCAGTCCCGCCGTTCTGACTTTCAAGTTTTATCTCCTGCATTAGTCCTGTTTGCAGGAGGAGATGGAGGATCAGCAACGTTCTGTAACAATTGTGCTGTTTAAGGGACTCTCTTAAGCCTAGTTTTGGCAATTGGTCCTCGCTTATTCTTGGTGTAAATATGAATAGGAAGGTCAGCCATTACTACAGCGTGAGTGTACCGGGGTGTTAATTTCTGACGAGAAGCAAACGGATTTTTGACAAAAATCTGTTGCTCAGGAGAATATTCAATTTCGGGCTCCCGGTCTTTATTTCGGATGTTAGTGAGTTTTTCACGAGAGTCATTATTGAGGCCACGTATGGTGTTGTACGCTAAAGCAATGAAGGGAAAACTGAAAAAGAAACTCGTATCTGGAGCTGCGTCGTCAGTACCACCGAGACGAGTTGATCAGTGCGACGAGGACGGCTTTCGGAAGGTGGAAAAGAAAAAGAAGAACATCAGCCGAAACCTTAGTGGCACCGCCCTGACTGGCCCGAATCATTTATTGCGTCCAGCGGTACCGACGACGTTGTTATACGTGTCGCGTCTTCCTTACTCCACCAAGTCTGCGGATATTGTGGAGTACATGCGAGTGAAGGCCAATGCAAACCTGAGGGTCGAGCGGTTGGAGTCGCGCCACAACGTGAATTTTAATTCATTTGTGGTGCGAGTACCAACTCAACACCTGTCGACCTTCATGAGAGGAGACTTTTGGCCGAAAGGTGTCATATACCGGCGTTTCCGAGGACGGCTACCGGACACTCACGTTGCGTCACACGTCGAAGTACAATACGTGTAAATAAATAGTGTTATATGTATATTATCATGTTATATTGTATTTATGATTAGTCCGTAAGGTATTTATTTAATATTTCTGTTATTGTTTTATTATATTATTGTTATATTATATGTATGTTAGTCTGTAAGGTATGTATCTATGGGTCCTAGTTGCCTGAAATAAATAAATAAATAAAAAAAAAAGTCATTTTATCTTTGTGGTTAACCATATATTGTTGTAGTAATTGAGATGAAACATTCATGTCAAAGGGATAACGAGGATCAAAACGGCCCGTTATCACCTCGATAGGCTTGCATTTTGTAAAACTGTGAATGCTATTGTTATAAGTCAGAAAAATATGGCATTAAATTAATGACGGATTCTGATTTTAGACCCAGTTTTAAGATACGGGCGTGTTTCAATATGGTTGAATGAAATCTCTCGTCTATCCCATTATCGTTAGGTGTATGAGCGGCAACCCTATGGTGATGGATTTTGTGAAGCCTTACAAATTCTGCAACAAGCTGATTAGTGAACTCAGTGCCGTTATCAGTAACTATGGTGATTGGTATACTATGGTGCGTGCAGAAATTAAGTAGTGCTTGAACTACGCTAATAGCAGTTCCGTCTCGCAAATGATAAGCCTGTGCATATTTGGAAAACTAATCTACGATAGCCAGATATTTTTCATTCTGGATAGTTAGTAAATCTAAGTGGACCAATTCAAAGGGCATTGTGGCAGGTGGAACAACTTCCGGGCGGCGTCGTGGTGAATGTTCACTGATCCCACGGCGCCGACTTAACCGGCGAGAGGGAAACCCGGGGGGGTTTTAGTGGGGTAGGCCCTTCAGTCTGGAGGGAGAGTCCCCACATAGCTCCTGAGTCTCCCTGGGCTCAGGGGTATCCATAAAGATTTCTCCCCGTCAAAAAAAAAAGGTGGAACAACTTAGAATTGCTGTTTTATGGGATTTCGATCATATTTCGCCTGTCTACATATCGTACATTCATTTATGAACTTAGTGATACTCTCACGCATTTTTGGCCAAATATTTGTGAGACAAAGCTAAAAATGTTTCGTTTATACCTCTGTGATTTCTCTTACCATCGTAGTATTTGTTAATTATTTCTTGTTGCGTGTCGTAATATTCACGAACGTTCTCAACTTAGCTTGTAGTTAAAGTCAAGTTCCTAGATGAATTTTTAAAAGTTCTTTGAATTGTAGGAATAATTATGTCCATAGCCAAGCGGGGATTAATTAACAAGCCGGTTTTGATCTTAGGATGAACATATTCTTTAATGGCGTTAATAACGTCTTCTTCCAAATTGGATTCCGACAATTGAATGGATATTCGTGTATGAGTTTCGAAAGGTTTAGTAATCACCGGTATTCCTTTAATATCACTGACCACATTGAGAATTAGTTGTTTAGTAAATCTATTTAATGGATTATCGGAAATTGGGATCTCTAAGATGGGATTTTCATTATCGGTGTGCACGGTAATAGAGGCATCTTCCGCTTCTGTAACCGTGATAGTTTTGGAGTTATCTAAAGTAGGTGCCATTTCAGATAAGTTAACTGCAATAGACATGAGTACTTCGTTATTAAGTTCGATTCTTAAAAGTGCATCTGCATTGGTATTGTGTTTACCCTGCTTATAAACGACTGTAAAGTCGTTTTCGCTGAGTTTCAACCGCCCGCCATCTTGTAAGTCGCGAGTTAGGTTCCTTAATATTCATAACCCACTGCAATGGTTTATGATCAGTGATAATTTTAAATTTACGGTCAAATATGCACGGTCTAAAGTATTTAGTGGCCCAAACAATTGTTAGGAACTCTTTTTCGATGGTACTGTAATTACACTCACTTGAATTA